CTCAAAGCCCACTCCTAGTAACACAGTTCCTTGAAGGCCACACCAGCTCTAACAAGGCCACATGTCTGAGTCCTTTCAAATAGCACCACTCCCTATGGTCCTAGTAGGAACATTTTCATAAAAAGCACCATATTGCACTCCATAGCTTGTAGACATATAATAATGCAAAAATGTATTCCGTCCAATTTTTTAGTACATCTATTCCAATTATCATTCTAGGACTGAGGAAATAACCACAGGAGAGTGTGGGGACCCACTGGACCTACTGTGAGTCAGACTTCAGCCAAAACTTCATTTTGGAGTTTTAGTTTCAAATGTAGTCAAGTTGACAACCAAGAATGCCATCACAAGGCCACCCCTTATCAACTTGACACAGAATTTTATTTCCTTATGTTATGATTAATTTCCAAATGAAAGTAATAATCAGGACATAATAACATCTGAACATAGTATAATTATCTGAAATACAATATCAAATGTATTATATATTTGAAATCAGTAATAATGTTCTTTGCGGGACGTTCTTTTAGTATCTTAAGTATCATGAACTAAACCTTTGACTGATCCAGTTCCAATTAAATGTTTCCTTTATAAGAGTTGCTATGGTCATGATGTCTCTTCATGTCAATGGAACACTGATTAAGACATGTTCCATTGTTACTTAAGTGTATGCTTCACAAACTCCCCACCCCCAGCCAGATTTTCTAAGGTTGAACAATCATGTCACCTTTGTCTTCTCTTATTGGCCCTTGTCAGGAGTCCCCATGCTCATCAATATGCTCAATACACTGATAAGTTCTTGCTCCTTTGCCTACATGTTGGCATAAATCTAATCATTTTAAGCCCCACCCCTCTATCAGGCCCACACATGTCTGGTCCAGGTGATGTCTAATGTCTATATTTTCCTCTGTAAAGGCAAAACAACTCGTTCAAAGTTACCTGTTCAATAATAGACTCTGGATTTGGCTTTGACTTCGTAACTGCTTTGATAAATTGTTTAACCCTGGTCCTGCTGACATTTTGGGATGAATAAATGGTTGTGGGATGTTTATCACACCCTTGCTCCTGTACTCATGGGCTGTCAATAGCACACCCTCACTCAAGTTTTGAAAACTGAAGATTTCTTCTCAAGTTTCCCAATGTAGCCTGATTGGTGTGCCCTTGTGGGGTGGTGTCAGCTATACTTGAAAAGGATTGCTTTGTGGTTCCCTCCTGCACCCTATAAGCTACTGTTGCTGATTGAGGGTAGCAATCCTCTAAGCCGGATAGGACAGGAGGAAAGAAGGAGTCACTAGGACAAGGTTTTATATGCCTCCATATGAAAGAATTCAGGATAGAACAGGCCAGCTCACAAATCTATAATTTCCTAACTTCTAAAAGTAATTTTAGTGCTGGGGAGGTAGACTTGCTAGCCACTCAGTCTAGCCAAATGGATAGGCGCCATATTCACTGAGAGATCTTGTCTCAAAAAGTAGTGTGGAGAACAATTGAGGAAGACACCTTGAGGAGACTCTAGCCAGCCCCTGCCTGGCACACGTGGCTCTGGCAGGCCTTGTCCTTCTCCCCAACTCCATCTACCTTACTAAAAACCATTAGATTACGCTCCTGAAGTCATCCATCTATCACTACAACCTGAGGTGAGAACTAAAGGCAGCGTGGGTGGACATTCAGTGGGAGAACAGGAAGTAGGAACACTTCCATTACAAAAGGGAAGTTAGCTGTGTGGAACCACCCTGAGGAGGAAATGAAGTCCAGGGATACTTTAGCAGGTTGTAGTGGAGTCAAGCAGTTTTGTGAGTTCACAGGGTTGCAACCGGTGTAGGAGAGAGGCTGAGGATACATCAGAAAGGGAGATAGATGGACCAAGCTTCTCTGCAGGCAGTAGGAAAGCGCTATAATAATAATAATGATGATAATAATAATAATAATAATAGTAATAGTAACAACAACAACAACAACAAATCATACCCCATGTTTTGCAAGGAGAAAATAAGTAAAATCCTGTTAGCACTCATTCATTAACCCTCAAAATATTTATTAAGTATCCATCATGTGCCATGCCATGTTGTGTTGCAAATAAGAAAAACATACCCTATATTACATCAGTCACATGCCCTAAAACAAAAAATGGAACTAAATGAAAAAACCAGACAAGAATTTGGCCTATCAGGCCTGGGCTAAATAAAGGAGTCATGTCTTTGGCAGAAGTAATGTCTTCAGGGCAAGGAGTCCCTCAGATCGGTCCTTACTACTTGTTACAGAGAACAACAGAGCCAGAACCTGGAATTCGAACACAGAATTCCTTTATTACTAAGGTAATTCAAGGCAACTTTAACTGCAGTGACTTGTTTAAACCACAGCTGATGGAGGAATTTCTTGTAGCCCTGCTGTGTTTGATGTGCTCAAGGCTTTAATATAGAAAAATGCTGGTAGAAGAAGACAAGGGCAGAGGTCCCACATTATCAACAGGCTGGATATCTGAATCTTTGTTCCAGTGGGACCAAACTACTGCTCTTTTCCTTCCACTTTGGATAATTCTGAAATCAGGATCTAGTTATACCCACTTGGCCACAGCTATTAACATCAGCATCCTTCACAATCACTCACATGCCTGCTTCTAACAGGCTTTGAAAAGGAAAAGCAGGGGAGGTACAGTCTGATTTTCCTTCTGAAGTACTCAAGGACAGACTGGGAAAGGTTCCCTACATATGACCCAGGACTGCACTCCATGTTACACACAGGTGGTCTGTACTAAGTGGCAGAATGAGGGAGGAGAAAGTTTGGAAGAAAGGGGCCTTTGCAATCACTGAATGGAAACTTCTGTCCTGGCAATGTCGGAATAAGCTTCAAGGCTAACTGATGGATGCCCTACTTAGAACCCAGGACACCTGAAACTCCAGGCAACACTTTTCTACTACTATAGTATTAACTATTCTCTATTGAGGTAAACTTGTAAATAAACAGCTTTGCCAGTGGTTGGGAGAGCATTTGGTATACCTTTTGGGGAAAAGTTCCCTTGTGTACAGATAAATTAACACTTGCACCAAAGCATATTTGAATATGAGTACAAATCTCTATTGTTGGAATTTAGAAAATAGCCCATGAGAGAAAGATGTCATAAGACAGGATTCAAGCAGAGGGGTTTTTTATTAGGGAAAGAGAGCATAAAATGGGAGAAAGGGAGGGGGGAGACAGGAGCAGCAGGAGAGAGGAGAAAGGAGAGAGAGAGGAAAGGGGGAGGAAGAGAGAGGGAGAGTGAGTGGAACAGAGAGGGAGGGAAAGAGAGAGAAGGGTGGGAGGTGGGCAGGGCCCTTTAAAAGGGAGCATAGTGAATGTGCACAGGTGGTGCTCTTAGTGGCTGCAGCTGAGGGTGTATTCTGTCAGTACCCTAAGGGCAGGCCAATACAGATGCCTGAATACTAACATCTATGACATGCCACATCATGGAAAGCTCAGAGGGCCTTGCCATTCACACTATAGAGTGTTCAGGAAACTTGCTTTCCCCCCACACCCACTATTCAAAACTGGTCTTTAACTTTAGTTAAGCTTTATAGCAAATCTGAATAAAAGGTACGGGGTGGGCTCTGGGGACATGGCTTAGTAAAGTGTTGGCCAAACAAGTACCAGGACTGAGTTCAGATTCGAAGCACTCATATAAAAATCCAGGTGTGGTGGCACATTTCGGTAATCCCAACTCTGTGGCTGTAGGAATACATGGCTCTTGAAGCTCAGTGGCCAGCCAGCCTAGCTCAAGTCATGTAGTTTCAGTGAGAGATTCAGTGAGAGACCCTGTCTCAAAAAATATAGTGGGGAGAGATTAAGGAAGGCACCCAACTTTCACCTCCTGTCTGTGTATAGGTCACACATACACACACACACACACACACAGAGAGAGAGAGAGAGAGAGAGAGAGAGAGAGAGCGCTACCACACAACTCCTGCCCTGCATGTGCACAGCTTCCCAGCCATCAATATCTTCCACTGGACTGGTACAGTTATTACAACTGATGAAATACCCTGACATATTTTCACTGAGTCCATATTTACATTTGAGTTCTCTGGGGGTTGGTTGTCTTGTAGGTTTGAACAAGTTTACAAGGACGTGTTACACAATTAGCATATCATACAGCCTTGTATCTCTGCCCTGTATATCCCCCCCCCACTTCCACCTCCCTATCCCAGGCCCCTGACAGCTGGTGGTCTGTCTCCAGCTTTACTTTTCCCAGCTTGTAATACATTGGATTGTGCAGACTTACTAGTAAGTCTTTTCAATTTCTTTAAGTGTTTTATGTTTTGACAGTTTCCCTTTATTGCATGTGTTGTTCCATTATTTAGATGTTCTATGGACCCCATCTTTAGATCGTCTGACCATTGTATCCCCAAATCCCTCACACCTCACCAAAACACAAGCCAAACTTTGGAGAGGTGTCTAGTGATGAGAAGAACTGAAATTATGATTTAAGTTAAGGCTCACATATTTTCTGTACTAATTACTCATGTCCCACTTTGCCAAATGGGGTGAATTTCAACACAAATGTAAAGTAATTGTCCCTGAAAATATACTGGAGTATATTTATCTCTGAGGGAAAAAATGTCTTGCCTTCAGGATGAATCAGACTGAGATGAAATTTTACTCTAACATTTAAAAGAGAAGATGGAAAAGGAAGGAAAGAAAAGTCAGACAGTGAAAAATTGAGAGAGAGGAAGGGAAAGAAGAGAAAGGGAGAGAGGGAGGGAGAGGGAGGGAGGGAGAGAGAGAGAGAGAGAGAGAGAGAGAGAGAGAGAGAGAGAGAGAGGGTAACAGAAAAACTTGCTAACAGAATTTTCCGAGCAAGGTATTTCTCTCCCTTTTACAAGTTAGCAGTTACTGAATAATTCATGACAGCCTGGAAAGGCTGTCTTCTCCCTGGATGATGGATAACTGAGCAGGAGAGCGCTCCAAGTGGGTTTGCCACATCAGCCAGCCAGCGCTCTTGCTTCTGAGCACAGGGTGCTCTCCTCTCCTGCTCAGCTTCTCTTGCAGGCAGGCATCCTCGCTGCTGCTGCCTGCCCACCCGCCTGGGCTTGTAGCCTACCACTTTACTTTCTCCAACTCTGCTGCCAGCTGAGGAGTCTTCCCACAGCTGCTGGCTCCTGCCTGGGACCATGTGTGTGGATGCTGCTTGGGAGAAGCAAGGCACTTGCTCCTGGCGTGGATCCCGGCTCAGTTTCTCCTGTTGACTTCTGGACCACAGATGTTGCTGCTGAGGAGGTACTCCCTGGCATCTCTTCCTCTGCTGTTACCAGTTAAAGACTGGCCCCAAATCAAGGTACCTTGTACTCCCTCTCCTTGGCATGGCATTTTCCTCAGGGTATCTCTACTTTCTCCCAGTAACAAGGGGCTTGGGCTGGCAACCGACACTCTTACATTTTTGGTTGTGAGCCCACAACAAACAATAACTCGTGTGTGTGTGTGTGTGTGTGTGTGTGTGTGTGTGTGTGTGTGTGTGTGTGTGTTCGGGGAAATCGTTCTTAGTATCGGTATGACCTTAGAGCTTCCCTGCAGCTCGCCAGGCATAAAGCGGACCTTCTCTGTCGCTGGAGACATTTCTGAGGCAGGCACCTGTCATCTGCCACCCCCATTTCTCCTCCAGCTCCCTCTCCCCTCCTCCCCCAACACAGCCTTTGTATCGGTGGCAGATGGCTAAAGGGATGTCTTTGCCCTCCCAGCAGGCAAGTGTCAGGATGGGCCACGGGGCAAGACGCCAACGCTAGGGCGCGAGGTGTGAAGAGTTGTCCAGAATGACCAACTCCTCCTCTACTTCCACCTCCACCACCACCGGGGGATCGCTGCTGTTGCTCTGCGAGGAAGAAGAGTCGTGGGCCGGCCGGCGGATCCCGGTGTCCCTCCTGTATTCGGGGCTGGCTATCGGGGGCACGCTGGCCAACGGCATGGTCATCTATCTCGTATCGTCCTTCCGAAAGCTGCAGACCACCAGCAACGCCTTCATCGTGAACGGCTGCGCCGCGGATCTCAGCGTCTGCGCCCTCTGGATGCCACAGGAGGCGGTGCTGGGGCTCCTGCCCGCGGGCTCCGCGGAGCCCCCAGGGGACTGGGACGGTGGCGGGGGCAGTTACCGCCTGCTCCGGGGAGGGCTGCTGGGCCTCGGGCTCACCGTTTCCCTCCTGTCCCACTGCCTCGTGGCGCTGAACCGCTACCTGCTCATCACCAGGGCGCCTGCCACCTACCAGGTGCTGTACCAGCGGCGCCACACGGTGGGCATGCTGGCGCTGTCCTGGGCCTTGGCCTTGGGTCTGGTGCTGTTGCTCCCGCCCTGGGCGCCCAAGCCTGGAGCCGAACCCCCGCAGGTCCATTACCCCGCGCTTCTGGCGGCCGGAGCGCTGCTGGCACAGACGGCGCTGCTGCTGCACTGTTACCTGGGCATCGTGCGCCGCGTGCGCGTCAGCGTCAAGCGGGTCAGCGTGCTCAACTTCCACCTGCTGCACCAGCTGCCGGGCTGTGCCGCCGCCGCCGCCGCCTTCCCGGCCGCCCCACACGCTCCGGGGCCGGGAGGCGCCGGGAACCCCGCGCAGCCCCAGCCCCTGCCGGCCGCGCTGCAGCCGCGTCGCATGCAGCGACGTCTCAGCGGCCTGTCGGTGCTGTTGCTTTGCTGCGTCTTCTTGTTGGCCACGCAGCCCCTGGTGTGGGTGAGCCTGGCCAGTGGCTTCTCGCTGCCGGTGCCCTGGGGCGTGCAGGCGGCCAGCTGGCTCCTGTGCTGCGCCCTGTCGGCGCTCAACCCTCTGCTCTACACGTGGAGGAACGAGGAGTTCCGCAGATCCGTGAGATCAGTCCTTCCCGGCGTTGGCGATGCGGCTGCAGCCGCAGCGGCCGCCACCGGAGTGCCAGCCATGTCCCAGGCGCAGCTGGGCACCCGGGCGGCTGGCCAACACTGGTAACTTATCATATGCCATCTGCCGCATCACCTCCTCTCTTTGTAAGCTACCCCCAACTCCAGAGAAGATCCCCGCGGGGAAGATTTTGCCTTCCTTTCCCAGTGAAATACCTGACCCAAGCAAGGTCTTTCTCTAAATGGAGTCCCAATGTAATTGTGCGCGGCCGCCCGACTTTTATCCTTTGTTTTTGTGTTTTAGAGACACCCTTACGTCCAGACACCCAGACTGCAAGGACTTTATAAACTGGCATTTAAAAAGGACTGGTTAATTTATTTCAAGTTTGCTTTTGAAACAGAGCTTTCATAACACACAACCCTTTCAACCTCCATTGTCTTATTTATGAAGCACCTTGAGTGTATGAGTGTGCATGAGTCAAAGGGAATATTATTGAGGAAGAAACAGCGTGTGTAGACAGTATTTTAATCACTCCTCCTTCTGTTATAGTTCAGTCTTTGTATATTGACATGGAAGAGTGAAACCACAGGTGTGTACACCGGTGTGAGTTGCCATTGAGACCTCAAGCCCTTTATTCTTAAAAGGGTCATTAGTGAGTCGTTTATAAAAATGAGATTAGACTCTCAGCCAGTGAGGAAACAAACCAAATTCAGTATTTTACTCTCCTCTTTATTCACGAATAAGGTGGAAAACTAGCGGTGGGTGTTACATCGAAAAATTTCAAGTTTGTTAATGGGTGGTCTGAAATCAGAAATGGAATTTTGGAGACAAAAAAGGGGGGTTATCTATTTTAGGTACCAGTTTCACACTTTCTACAGCATGCACACTTCTTGCTAACCACATTTGTAACCAATTTATTCGTCTCTGAGTGTGATCGCAGCTTTGAACATTCTTGTACTATAATGGTTGCTAAGGAGAATGAATCCTGTTTTCTCTTTAAGATATCTCAATGCACATGATATAATTAAACACTAATACCATAACTGCATAGCTAATGTTAGCTGCTATTGCATGCTCCTAGATGCTAGAACATATTGGGCATGTGGTATACAAAGCAATACCCATTAGACAAGGACATTTTACTTCTTCCAGACATCAGAAGGGATGGTTATTAATCATTTGGAAAGAGACACAGATACACCTGTGGCTGCCTAGAATTCTTGTCTTGACCTGGTATATGAGAAAACTCCCATTTGGGACTTTAGCTCCTAAATGAAACCAATGGTCAAGATGATGCACTAATACAGATTGGCTCTTCAAAGCCACTTGTGATTTTAGGGGTTAAAGAAGCCACACGCTAGGAAGTATCACTGTTTTATGTTGTTCCTCTATATTACCATGACATTTAACTTCAGTATCATGTCTTTTGGAGACGGAATAGTACACTTGGTTGTGTGTCAAAGGCACTGTTCAAATGGGACTCTGTTCTCAAATCTCTCAGTCAAGTTTTGCCATCTTCATCTTTGACTTCCTATGTGTTTTAAGATACGTTTTTCAATGTGCAGAGCCATGTGAAATCATCTCATGAAATTAAACAGGGGAGAAAATAATAAGAGGCACAGAGCAGTCTGTTAGCCACAGAAAGTCTGGGGGCCAAACAGTCTCAATGAACTTCATAATTTGGAAGTAAAGACAGCTTGCTTTGCTGTGCTCTTGGACCAAGGATGGTAAGAACACTTGTACATTTGAATAATAATGGGAGACCCAGGGAATGGACATTTTTGAGTAAAACAAAATAAAATAAACATGTTTGTCACTAACAATACATCAGCAGTCATGTTATTAACCAAACTGTGCATGAGCCATTTCTCTCTTACGAAGTTTTTATCTGTTCCCAGCTTCCTGAATTCAGATAATTAATTAAACTTTAGATAATGCATCTCCTGGGTCTATTTCTTCTTTCTTTGGGTATCTTCTCTCTGACTCTATCTTGATGATACTGTACCATAAGACACTAGGTTCCCAACACCAGTGACACAAAGTGACTTCTAATTATTCTAAAATGCTTCCTACTTCATATACTTAGGTAAGCTTCTTACACTGGTCTAGGAAAAGAGCCTCTTTTCTGTAAACACTGTGGAACCAGCACAGAGAGATGGGGAGTTTCCATTTGGTGGTGCAGTGGGACAGATTTCTAAAGCCTTCTAGTTAAGCATTGTCCTTGTTTCTCATTGTGGGTGATGCCAACAAGTTCCCTCCCTGTCCCTATACTGTGCCACACATATAAAGAGATTTGCAAATGAGGATCTGAATCTTGCCATGTTTCTGGCTAGCATTGAGAACTGTTGGCTGGCACCATGCCACGTGGGAGACCTACTTTCCATTAATTTACTAGTAATTAACTCCAGAGGACTGATTCACTTTTAATTTTAAAGTAGCACTGATGCATCTAAAAATGCCTTCCTAGGCATTGCCTGTGAGTGTTGGAGTTACTGCTTTGACAAATTAAATTAATGGAGATTGTGTTCTTATTTAAATGAAACTACATATTATCCATGCAGGAATAATTAAAAAAAAATCCTAACTGCTCTCCTAGGCTTCCCTAATTTGCTTTTTTCCTTTTATGTGCATGCCTGTTAATATGTATAACATCTTCTTTCCTTCTGTATTCATTTGAAGAACTAAATTCTAGGACAGAATAGGCCTTATCTGCAGTGCTTTCTTCCTTCCAAAATGAAGAGTGTTCACAAACAAGAATTCTGCTTGGTAGGGACATTCACCAATGTTGTTTCAAGTCAGAGGGACCCAGTGGAGGATGGCACGCAGCAAGGGTGAAGGGCAAAGAGGCTTTCTTTAAAACAACAAGGAAGATGTTGAAAAGATCTGCTTTGAACTCACAGTGGAGGACAACCTTGTCCTTCTGGTGGTGACATATTACGTGACTTTGGCATTTCTTGTGTCACCTTTATTGTACATACCAGGGGTTCATATGATACTTGCCTAGCTCTACAGATGCCTTAGTGGTTGACTTGACAAGTGTCTCTGCATGTGAGTCTACATGAAGAATGGATGGGCTGGGGCAATGGCTCAGTCAGTAAAGTGTTTGCTGTACAAGCATGACGACCTGGGTTCAGATCCCTGAAGGCAGGTCAAATGAAGTCCACAAATATCCAGGTAAAGAATTAGCCGGTATTTATTCGGAGAGCACTCACACAATGGTGGTAAATAACTGCTGTGGTCTTCCTGTTTCTGGAGATGCAGCCTCTCCCCTTCAGGATGCTCTGACAGCAACTCAAGAGAGTGACAGCCAGCCTCTCCCCTTCCTTATAAGGACTATATACACTGAAGTCACACCCTAAGGTGTGGCCACTATCCCAAGTCCATTGGCGGAACAAGATGTCACTACAGATCCCTACACTCTATTTAAAAAACCACGCATGGGACAGCATGGCTGGGATTGCAGTGTTGGGGAGGTAGAGACAGGTGGATTGCCGGGGCGTGCGTGAGTTCAAGATTTCAGTGAGAGAGTCTGCCTCAGAAAATTAAGTGGGGAGCAATTGAAAAAGACACTTGACATCAGCCTGGGGCCTACACACACACACACACACACACACACACACACACACACACACACACACACGTGAATATTGTAGACACACACATGGACATTGAGAAAAATCATGATGTCCCTTCCTTTCAAAGCCTGCTCTTGATGTTTATGGCTTGTAGAGCAGGACTGGTGCTCCAGGTGGAGCTTTGGGTCTATGGGATAGTGATGATTTCTTTCTTGGTATTTGCGCTTTTAATATCTCCAGGAACCTCATGCAAATTGTGCTGTTCAGCAATAAACCTGAGTTCTGCCTGTATTCCCATCTCTGCCTTGCCATCTCTGGCATCTAGTGGTGAACATACAGGGGCCAGAGTTGCCTCTGGAAGTGGTCACTGGCTCTTTGGGCAGGGAACTCCTGGGTTCTAGGCACCTGCATCTGTTGAGGGAGACACAAGCTGGCATATGTCTTTGTGGAATGGGTGGTCAGAGGAGGATAGTAGATCTCTCCTTAAAGTGCAAGACCTAGGCTAGAGTCCCAGTTTCTCTGTGTCAACATTCATTTATAGGTCCTGTCCAGGAAGCCTTGCAAAGCCTCCTTAGTGAAGCCCCACACTGAGATTCCCAGATGCTTCCAAAGGCCCAGTGCATAGTTGAAGGAAGGGGGAAGGCTGCACCTGAAGTATTGGTCGAATATGTATGTCTGTTGGAAGGAAGTGATGGGTACTCAGAATCCCCTGCATCATTCTCCCTACTGTTGTGCATCTTTGGGATTTTCTTAAGGACACATGCCCTAAAAACTGTGGCCAAAGCTAAGGAAATCATAAAAAGAATGAGAAGAAAGGAAGAGAAGAGCACAGAAAGGACAGGCGCTAAAGCCCAAGATCCCACAGGGTTAAGTGCCGACAATGGACTGAAGAATTGGTGTGACTCTGGACCATGCAACTGCAGCTAACATGATGCAGGTGACAATCAGAACTTTGAATGAAGCATGGAATCACCTTCATGATGTGACCACTCCCTAAGCTGTCTCTTTGACTCAGATCTGTTGTTAGAGCCCAGTTGTCATGCACACTAGCTCTTAGTACAGACCAGCTCCACATCAGCCCCAGATCATTGCTTTACTAGGTGATTCTAGCTTTTCCCTCCAGCTCATCTACTGTCTACCTCCTCATCAGGACTCCTCTGCTCCAGCCTCAGGCTCCTTCTCCACAGAATTCATGCATAGCACTAGTCTTACATATTCCCTTCTTATATTACCCTCTGAAAATTGTGTGTGTGTGTGTGTGTGTGTGTGTGTGTGTGTGTGAGAGAGAGAGAGAGAGAGAGAGAGAGAGAGAGAGAGAGAGAGAGAGAGAATCTTCCTTGAAACTAGATAGGAAAGTTATTTTTATCTTTTTTTAAAATTTTTATCTATTTTGTAAAGGGATTTTTTTCACATCCAGTCATGTGAAGTACACTATGTATTTAATATATGTTTGCAATTCATAACAGTATTTTTTAACTTTTTGTATTTCTTTTTATTATTATTATTTATTTATTTACTTTTTCTTATTTTACATGTGGATCCCAGTTCCCTCTTCCTCCCTCCCTCCTTCTAGCCCACCCTCTCATGCCCGCTGACTACCCTCCCATTCCACTCCTCCCCCACTCCACAGGGAGAGTGATGCCTTTCAGGAGGGGTCAACAAAATCTGTCAAGTCATTTG